AGAAAGAAAGAAAGAAAGACAAACCAAACAAATTAGACGACAAACATTATCTTAGATGACTGTATGACTGAAGCTTCTGTTTATAAAGATTTTTTTTTTCCTGCAGGACATCACCCTCACGCTACGTTTATCAAAGAGTTTCACTTTTCATGTCAGTGATGACCCACAATAATTATTGTCTAGAAAAATGCGAAAATATGAATTTACAAACTGATGAATGAAATAATGCTCATTAAAAGAAGCATTCATTAATCAAATTTTATTAGGTGCAGTTTTTGTCGGTTTGTTTGTTATAGTGTGTTTGGTTGTTTTTTTCAGGAGGGGATTGTTTGCCTTTGTTTTCATTTTGTTTTGTTTGGTTGTATTTTTATTTTTGTTTAGTTTTGTTATTCCCAGCAAGGAGCAGCAGGTTTCTCGATTGTGGTCGAGAGCCTTTTTGTCACATATTTGAGAGATTTAGCAGATTGTAATAACAATTTGGGCAAAGCTTCTTGAGAAAGAGTGGCTATCCATCAGTGCCAACCTGGATAAAAGAAATACTGCCTTCCAACAGACAGACGGAGATGCTCGCTAAAAAAAACCCAAATTCGTCACTGGGAATCGAACTCCGGTCTTTAGTGTGCAGAGCGAAGCGTTTAATCGCTACAGCACAGGCCAGTGACGTCATTATCAAAACTAAATCTTGTTTGTTATGACCGGTATACACTTTAGAGCGTTTTGTTCCTTATCCTACTTAACCTCACCTTACGTAACCTTACCTGGATACCTGGAGGTGTCATTTCTGACTCAGAGGCTCGTGTGTAATTACCCTCAATCCTTCACGGTTGCACATTCTGCCATACCACGGCCAGTCCATGTCTTAATGCTGTCCATTCAAGTTAGATCTACTCTTTGTTTTAATTTCCCCTGGCTCAGCTGTCTCTCATCCTTCCTTCAAACACCTTTTTCCCAACGGTTTCGTGTCGATTTGAGTGACCAGAGTATTGTGTTTTCCTGCATGTTATTTTATTCAGTAAGGTTTGTACTATATATACATGTATATATTTTTTAAAGGAAAATAATAATGTACGTGCCTTCTTTGTTTAACAGAGACCAATATATCGTATGTACAGAATCTATGATAAAAATTGGAACAGTTAGTATAAGTATGACTAAGTTTATTAGAAATCTTCATCACTACTATCAGGATCACATCTAGTATCACCACTTCTGTCTGTTAAAACGGCATCATCGTTAAAGTCTGCATGGCCACCCTGTCACCACCACCATCATTGTTTGGAAAGCAGAGTCAGTAGGAAGGGAAGTCTTGCTTGACTTTCTGACAAGACATTTTTGAAATATAAAATACTAAACATTTGTTTTATTGAAACAACTCAACGTTTCGCCTCTTTGGGCTTCCTATGGAGCAACTGAGAGTAAAACTAAAAGTTTGTTGTATAATAGCGTCATCGTCGTCATCCTCATCATCATCATCATCATCATCATCATCATCATCATCATCATCATCATCATCATTATCATCATCATCATCATCATCATCATTACCAGCAATCACAGCTATAGGGACAACAGCACCAGTCCTGTATTTTTGAACAACAACAAAAACAAAAATAGCACATTATGACAAATCCTCTATGAATTGAAAAAAACAACAACAAAACTGAAGTGCCTCAAAATAGTTATTTTGTTGTTTTTTGGTTTATATGACACAAAAAAGATAATATAATATTATGCTTACAGGAGAAAGATTCCAAACAAACAAACAACAATCATCATCATATAAAGGCAGATCTGAAGCAGAAATCGGTTACCATGTTTCCACATCCATTTCTCTGCTTCGATGCTCTCAAAAGTCGTATATTTTTTATTATTATTCAGTCTATCAGTCTTTATCCTTCGTCTATCTGTGTCTAAGTTCTCTGATCAAGCTATTGTGGATCAATCTTTGCCTCTTCCGCCTTCTATTTTGCCAATAAGAGAAAGATGTTCAAGACTTGTAGTTCGACTTGAATGTCCAAGAAACTACATATCAATAGCATTTTAAACCAGCAAAAAAATCCCATAGAAATCTAAAATACAAGAAGCGGAAGGGTGAGTATAGAAATGGTTTTGTGGGCAGAGAACGATGGTTCTTTGGGTGTCCTGCTGTGTATATACAATATTGTAATTTTCTTACATCTCTTGATAATTCCTCACCCTTTATTAAATTCAAGCCATACTGTTAGAGGGGAATTTTGTTTAATTAAGCGGTAGTGGTAAGATCAACACAGTGAGTGGCGGAAAGTGCCACTGGTAGGTCTTACTTTCTTACTTTCCTTCCGCCCTATGCGTCTCTTCCTTTCTCCTGCTTTAAGAATCGTTAATTTGCTGATGGAAACCTCTCCTTTCTCAAACTTAAAAAAAAACCTCAAAGCTCAACACAAAAGGGAAGAAAGGATGTCGAGGAGATAAAATAGCAACATTATGTGTGAAACATATTATTTTGACGTACATGTAGTTTCTTTTCCTTTAGGCGTTTTTGTGCCCCATCAATACAATACGTGTCACAGCGCAGTGGAATCAGGCACTTGTCAATTTTTGGGCACATGGAGTTATTGGTGTTATCTTGAAGTCTGTTCATTTGCCTTGCTTTAAATAAAAAGAAATATACATGTATCTTGAACAGAAGTCAAGATATTTCCATTTGAATGAGGTAGGGGTCGCCTGGTTTCAGAAGTTGTATTAGCGAGAAAATGGCTACCAAAGTTTGGCGACTTCCATAGCTTAAGACTCCTTGGAAACTGCAAATTTACATTTGTGAGACAGCGTGGTGGAATCAGGCTCTCGTCAATTTTTGGGCAGGTAGAGTTTTCGATATCATCTTAAAGCTTGTTCAATTGTCTTTATTTTGTTTTAAAAATATCTATTTATCTTGAATACAAGTCGAGATATTTGCGAAAGAAGGAGGTGGAGGCCACCTGTTTTCAGAGGTAAAATTAGTGAGAAAATGGCCACCAAAGATGATTTATTTCCTTAGCTTAAGAGTCCATGGTAACTGAAAATTTACATTTTTTCTGCCTTTAATCAACGTTTTTCAGAAAATTTTCCACAAAGATCAGTTCTTTAATATGCATGAAAGGTGTTGAGCCAAAAAACAAACATTTGATAAAAATTCTTAAACCTGTGGAAAAATGCAAGTTTCTTCACTTTAAGTATTTTGACGAGAGCCTGATACCACCACGCTGCCTCACATAATGTGGGTACATTTAATCAACGTTTATCAATATTTTAAAAATCCACATATGACAGTGGTTTCGAATGGACAGGCCAGGTGTTAAGCTCCCCCCAAAAAAATTCGAAAAGAAATGTCTAAACTGGCCCCCAAAAAATGCAGATTTCTCGTATTCCATTATTTTGACAAGCGACTGATTTCAACATGATGCCTCACAATTATAGATCGTCAAGGAGGCAGGTTTGGTCGTTGCCTGTCAGTGCTGAGCAAGGTTGTGAGGGATAGGATGACACAGTAGAAAGGCTGAGATACTCGACGAGAATTGATCGCTGTTAAGGACAAGCGGGCTAACCCAGATTTCGGGGGTTTCCAGAAACCTTGACCTACACCAAAAGTGGGCATTGCTCTGCCTATAGGAGAAGTTTGATTTCATTCATGTGTATATTTGTTTGGTTATAGAGAAAACTCTCCTTGTCTTTTAAAAGAACTGGACAAGGGGCAAAAACTTTAACTTCGATTTTCTCAAAACAGCATTGGTTTTTTTTCAGGACAGCCCCCTTGTGCTTAAAAGCGACCAATTCTCCCCAAAAAGGAATCAACCTAAGGTCTTCTGCGTGCAACGGCGACACGCCTAATCTCTAGTCTATTCCACAGCCACAGTATCTCGAATACCTCGATCTTTTTGCTGGGACATTGTATCCCTCTCAGGCTGGGTTGGCCTAAACGATGAAGTCAGAGTCCTCCTCCTAAATGTTCTAAATTGTGCAGACTGGAGCGTAAAAGTACTTCATTAAAAAATTCAGCTGAAAGTTTGAAAAATAAAGAAAGTTGAGGGGTTTAAGCTAGAATGAATTACCTTTGCCCGAGCGGCTCGAACATTGGGACTTTTCTGTATTACTTTGAGACAGAAAAGATGAGAAAAGTGAGCGTAATAAATCTCTGTACTTGGAGTTGTAGCTGTAGTAAATAAATATGTTGGTGGAGGCGCAGATCAGCTCCAGAGCAATCTTCACGCAGACGCAGACATGAAAGACTCTCCTGTACTTTCGGTTGACGTAGAACTCCGGTTCTGCCATGCGCATGAAGACGATGCACATCCGGGGGGTGTTGGAAATGACGTAAGCAGTAGATATCAGCGCCACCTGCTTCAGTACTTGAATATCTCTGGACGAGAGGACTTTGCTTCCGGCTATGGCCGTCACAGATCTTCCGGTGGCCTGACTCAGCCGTCGGAAACTGGCAGCCTGTCTCAGTTTGTGGAGCATGACAAAGAGACAGATGATGACGAGGCCCACGGAGATGAGGTTCACCAGAACGTCGTTGAGCATCTCCAGGACATCGGAGCTGATGTAGAAGAGGCGGGAGAGGTGGCGAGTGAGGCGAGTGGAGTTACCTTCCCCTATACGGAAATGAACGAGCCTCAAGCCCACCACAAGCGGGATGTAAGGGAGAAAACTCACGGACACGAACACGCAGAGGATGACGGTGGTTCTAGACATGGTGAACACGTCTCTGAACCGAAGCGGGATCGTCACACACATACAGCGGGCTACGGCTTGATACGTCGTTATCAACGCCGAAATGGTCAGAAACTGCTCTCGAATGAAATTGCTAATCATAGCTAGACCGTAGGGCTCGATAGGGAACCATGCTTGATTTTTCATCTCCATCACCGCCATAGCATGAGTTGCTGACGTCATAAAGCCCACAACGACCATGCCCAGATCGGAGATGGACAGGACGAGGAAAGTGAGAGTTACACTGTCCTTGACCTTGATTTTGAGAAAGGCGTGGATGTTGACGAGGTTGGTGAAAGTCCCAAAGCAGCATGTGACCGCCCAAGCCGTCACGGAAATGATCAGTGCCAAGACATAGCCATCTAAACCCAAGAGAAATTGCTCAGTGGCCATTGTAGTCCGAAGAAAAACTATGAATGTGTGTCCGCTGGAAAAGTGGGAAAGCAAGAATTTCTTCTTTAACAAAAGAATATTATCGTGTGAATAGCTTCCACGCGTGCTCTTTATGCAGGGTTTCCAAAAAGTCGCACACCATCATGAAACACACATACAACTGTCTGCTCTCCTCAAAAAGCTACTTACTTTGAACTGTCCTTATTGTAAATAGGTGGATGTTGTGGCACTCAATTGTGATTGCAAAAAACAATTATTTTACCATCTATGTAACTTAAAACAATGGATGAATGGGCATTTGAATACCAAGGCACAAAGATCTGGAATGCTTTACCAAGTACTTTAACAGAGATCAAATCTTTTGATTCTTTCAAATGTCAGCTAAAAGTCGTTTCTGTTTCTAAGTTAATAAGATGAATAATATTATATGGAGTGATTTTCTTTAGGTCAGAACACGTTTTATGTTACTGTTTTACGTTTTACTGTATTGTAAAGCGCTCAGAGCCTGTGTACTTTAATCGGGGTTGAGCGCTATATAAATGTTATTTATAATTGTTATTTGTATTATTTTCATTATTATTATTATTATTATTATTATTATTATTATTATTATTATTATTATTATTATTATTATCATTATTATTATTATTATTATTATTATTATTATTATTATGATTATGATTATTGTTATTATTATTATTATGTTATTATTATTATTGTTATTATTATTATTATTATTATCATTATTATTATTATTAATATTATTATTATTGCATGTCTCAGTTCGTCAAGAGAGCGTAGACAGAGAGAAAAAAAACCCTACAGATTTCATCATGGTGGGCGACTTTTTTGGACACCCTGCATATAAAACGTTTGAAGCCTCTTCCCCCCCATCCCCGATTGACACAGTTTAGTTCAATTTAGAGGATGAGGGTGGGGGCATCTTCCATTTTACCTTTTAGGGCCAACCTGGGAGTGAAATGAACATAGTGCCCAGGCCATACAAATGCATGGAGATGCTCGATAAACTTCTTCCACATACAGCAATCGAACAAATTTTTTAAATCAACTTGGAGAAATCAGGCGCTCGTCCAAATATTAAAATCCAAGAAATCGGCGTTTTTTGGCCAGTTTGAACATTTTTTTATCTTTGTTTTTTAACTCAACATCTTGTATGTCCGTTCAAAAACGCTTTTATGTCTGGATTTTATTGAAAAACGTTGATTATGGGCATCCAAAAAAAATATTTGCAGTTTCGAAAGACTCTTGAGCTATGGAAGTCACCAAACTTTGGTGGCCATTTTCTCGATAATTTTTATTCTGAAACCAGGCGACCCCACCTCATTCAATGGCAAAAAAAAACGTGACTTTCATTCCAGATAAATGGACGTTTATTTCCTCGAAAGCAGGGGGCAAATGAATAGCCTTAAAGATAATACCAATAACTCCACATCTCCGAAAATTGACGAGCGCCTGATTCCACTACGTCGTGACACAAAGATCATTTGGTAGCTATGGTAAAGATCCTACCCCTTACACTGCAGTTGTATGATACTCGTTAAAGAGATATTTGAGTATAAGTTACATCACAATCTTTAGACCGAACAAAAAGTTACAAACCTTTTAAACTGGAGCGCACATTCATCACGGCGGGTTCGCACTCTACTCGGAAAAATATTTTTTTAAACCAGCTGAATTAAATCTTTTGTAGACGGAAAATTTATGCTTTCGTGAACAGCATATTAATTTACTCTTTTGCAGACAATAAAATTACTTTTTTACAGACAGAAAACATTTTCTTGTGCATACAGCATGCTTTCCTTTTGGTAGACAGCAGGCTTACCCTTTAACAGACAACATACAGGGTGATCCCTAAAAAAAACAACTGTGAAACCTTTTTTTGTTAATATTTTCCTCCACACTGAAAGTTTGCGCTTCAAATTTGTATACAACATTTGGAAGTCAAAAGGAATTTGTTTGATATTCATTTAAGATAAATCCACAAAATAATGTTGCTCTACATAGCGCGTACAAAAATCAACCCATTTTCAGCTATGTTCCCGTTTTTGTAGCATGCCGAACTAGTTCGCATTTGACCTAGCACAAAAAATCCCATCGATTGCGCCATATTGCAAACATCATTTAGGACTGTGTAGGGAATCAGAACAAAAAATTACCAGACAAAACGACCACTTTAGGTCGAACGCACACCGTTTGCACTCCTTTAAACGTCACCAGGGTGTAGAATTCAGTAGATGGGCCCCATGAGACATTTGTCCGTAGACGATGTCTGCAGCAACGACTTTCCTACATCTCAACGGTCCGTATTTTCTTCATCTACGACTGTACCATTTTCCTGTTCGCGAAGCAATCAGCGGATAGCAATGTGTTCATGAAAGGATTCTTCGATCGTCTTGAAAAGCATGAACATTTCCTCTATGACATTAATTTGGTTCCTTGGCAGAGCCCATATTCACCTTCCAGGTTATATCGTCTCCACAAATGCTGTCTATTTGGGCAACCTCACCCACCCCTTCCCCTTATATTGTCTCTAGAAACAGTTCCATACTGTAAGGTGTACAGCGTGTGTGTGTTTGTGTGTGTGTGTGTGTGTGTGTGTGTGTGTGTGTGTGTGTGTGTGTGTGTGTGTGTGTGTGTGTGTGTGTGTGTGTGTGTGTATTTGAGTACACATGGTTGAGTCCATCACTGAACATTATGAACGACGCGTTAAACTGTCCCGAGTCCAAAGGAGGACATATAGACCATTGGTTCTCGAAATTCCAGAATTAAAAAAAGAATGTTTTTTTTAACTCTGTGGGAGAAAATAAATATTGTTTAAAAATTACAGGGATGGAATTTTTTTTTCTCAAAATGACAGGACCAGAAAATACCAACCAATCATTTCAAGACTTTTCTTACAAGATCTTTTAAATTTGCTCATTTTGCATTTATAAGTAGTTATGATTAAAGCTGTTTCTGGGGTTTTTTTAAGTTTCTTTTTTGTGAATTTTTATGTCAAACTAGTTCTTTTTTTAATGAATTATATATGTTCCAAATTACGACGTTTTAACACACATTTTGTGCGAGATATTTAGAAAAGAAAAGTTGTACAGTTGTTGGGGTTTTTTTTATCACCCTAGTACTTACTTTTTTAAAGACAGCACACTTCTTTGTAAACAGCTGATTTTCTGTTTTATAGACAGCAGAAATTTGGCGCGAGATATTTAGAAAAAAAAGGTGCACATGTTGTTTTTTTTTGGGGGGGGAGGGGTCGAAGCACCCTGGTACTTATTTTTTCAAAGACAGCACACTTTTTTTTGTAGACAGCAGACTTGCAGGTTGTTGTTTTTTTAAACAGCATCTTTCTCTTTTGTAGACTACAGACTTAGTCTTTAATGACAACATACTTACCCTTTTGCAGACAACAGACTAGAGGGCTCTCGTGGCCTAGATGTTAAGGTATTTGCCTCTCATTCAAAGGTTCCGGGTTCAAATCCGGGTAGCGACCGGAAAATGTTATTCTCTAAAATTGTCTCCCTTAAAACCTCCTTTACTGCTCTCTAGCAATGCTCTGACGTTTGCTTTCGTCTCCTCTTTCTGCCGCCACACCCCACCTTTTTTTGTCCATATAAAAACACATTTCCATGTGAATTTTTTGGGGAAAAAACATTGATTAAAAGCCCAAAATATGTAATTTTTCAGTTTTCAAGAACTCTCAAGCTTTTGATTTTACAAAACTTTGACGGCCAGATGGCAGACTTTCTCTTTTGCAGACAGCAGACTTACGCTTTTACGATTGACCTACTTTTTCAAAGACAGCACTTTTTTTGCATACAGCAGACTTTTTCTTTTATAGATAAAAGTTTATTTTTTTCAAAAACAGCAAAGCTACCTTTTTGCAGACACAACAGCCATTTTCTTTTGTAGACAACAGACTTACTCTTTTGTAGACAACAGACTTACTCATTTGTAGACAACAGACTTTCTCTTTTGCAGACTTCAGACTTACTCATAAGTAGATATCAGACATCTTTTTTAAATTCACAATAGACTTACCTATTTGTAAACAAGAGACTGTGGGTGGTTGGCGGGTGCTCTGATGTGGTTTGCCTCTTCTTTCCTATCAAACATTTATAGTCTTTATCTCCCCTTCTTCATTTTTTATGTTTGGTACTCTCATGTAACACCTCTAATCTTCCTGCGCTCATGACCTTAAGCAGTTGCAAGTGCCGTAAAACCTCTACTAAAACTAAAGACCAAAGACGTACCCTTTTGTAGACAGCAGACCTTCTCTTTAGAAGACAGATGACTCTCTCTCTCTCTCTCTCTTTCACTTTTGAAGACAGATGCCTTGCAATCTACTGTCTAGGCAACCGACTTACTTTATTCTATTGCAGACTCACCCACCGCTATGTGAAGATACTGGCAGGAGTTGAACTGTTTATAGGCCTAGACCAACTCACCGTATACGTTTATAATGGCATTTAAACTAGGGGCAATCCAGAGATAGTTCTGGTCTTAACAAGTTTATTGTTAGGTGATTTTTAGGGAAAATAGTAGCAAACGTGATTAAAATAATTCAGTACACTAGAGTCAAAATATGTCTCTTTAAAAAAATAACAAAATAACACGCTATAGACCCCGGTTCTTGTTTTCCTAACGGCGCCATTATTCTGGCTCGAGAACTGTTAGTCTAAATGTATCTGTTGTTCAGAGACTACACTGGCATTTTGCCCATGTCTTTTCAACAATTTCTGTCTGGTTCCCTTACTCTCATAATCTTCATGGTTATCTTTAATCATCTTGACCAGCTTGAACATCAAGCCCCCTGTGCGCGTCTACTTACCTTTATTTTGTATTTATCTCTTCGGGGTTGACGTCTTTCGTTTTTCCCCTCGTAACGTCGTCTTGTTAATGAAATTATGTGGGAATTTGCGTTCAGAGCCCGGTCAGCAGTCGGAGATTGGTTGTTGTGGTCTTATGGCTAGGCTCTTCGCAGT